TATATATATATATATATATATATATACATACACACACACTGTATGTGTGAAGTGGGGAGGGTGGAGCACCTTAGGTATGCTAATGTCCTCAAATGTGGCAATGAGAGGCAGAGTCGGAAATGCTAAAATGACGACTTGCAAGGAAATAACTCCCTTGGCCACGTCCATCACAGGAACATTACAGTGGGTTTCTGAGAACAGGTTAATTTCTTTTCAGGCTTTTTCGTTGTGCTGTCGTACTTTTCTTTAATACAAAACATGTTTAAAGGACGAATGTTTTTGGCAGATAGTTTTGTCCTTTATAGATTTGAGGTTCACCATTCCTGTTCCCAATTACATTTTTTTTCTCGAATTCCCTGTTTTTCGCTGAAACACCTGTGTTTTTCATTTTTTAATCCAATCCCCTGATCCACAGCTGGTTGTTTTTTTCTTACTTCGTTGCAAGTATAGAGAGAGTCAATTATTGGTGGAATTCCACCATTCACGGGGGCCACAATCAAATTCGCCCAGGCAGCTCGGTTGTCTTTGGACGTTTTTGTGCTTTTTGTTCCGGCACATGGTGGGACAGGCGCTGACGCTCGTCACATGACCCAACAGTCCCACAAACCGGAAGAGTCTCCCAGCCAACAAGGCCGCCGAGCCGAGTTCTTCGCGGTTCTTACCCAGGATGTGACTGTCGACTCCGCCGCCGAACTCCGACCGAGCCCCCGACGTCCACTCCCCAGGGAGCCCCGCCATGGCGCAGTGCGTGCAGTCCGTCCAGGAGTTCGTCCAGGACTCGTTCGTGCCGATGGTGGCCGTGCTGTGCAGCGACGAGGCGGAGAGGCTCACCCGCAAAAACAAGCTCAACTTCGCCGAGCTGCTTAGGCCTTTCTGTCGGCTGACTTCCGAAGGTACGAGCGCGCGAGCGAGCGCCACTTAGCCGCCCCGCCTGAGAAGGAGACGCGACCGGTGGCCCCGGGCGCGGTCTCGTCCGCGTCGGATCGGGTGACATTGCTTCGGGTTGTTAGCACCGCGGCTAGCTCGTGACTAAGCACCGGGCGGACACCCGCGGAGGCGTAGCGACACCTGCCCGGGCTTCGTGACACCTGAGCGGCGAGACCTGGGCAACAGTTAGCGGGACTGCTAACAGGCCCGCTCTGCAAGTGGCTTCAATTGAATAGGAAGTTGTCATTTTCCGCCCGAACGAGTCCGTCGGCTTTCGAGTTTGTTCTTGGTTGACCCGACTCCAGCCCCAGTCAGCGTGGTACTGCGGTTCATCCTGTTAACGCTTCTCAACACTTGTCCTCCCCTTTCGCGCGTCCCTGCTTTGGCGATGTCACGTCAAAGAAGGGCTTCCCTCGGGCTCTGTGACGGTTGTCGTTTGAAAAGCGAGTTTCAAGCTTCCGTTAGTGGTTTATTCGTGTTGTTTCGAGTTTGCGTCCGCGTTTAAAGTGAGAGTTTCGAACCTGGTCACCATTTCAAAGTCAGTTTCAACCTATCTCTTTTGATACAGTTGAGTTGAGTTTTCAGGACAGAAGTAGGGTTTTGCGGTTGGGTTTGAAATTAGGATTTAGAATGTGGAGAGTGTGTCATCATATGTGGTCAAAAAAGTATTATGGTGGTTTTAGGTTAAGGTTGCAAACAAAACAAAGATATTCATGTCAGGGTTTCAAACCTGGTGAGGATCTCCAGCCATGCTTTAAAATTAGGGTGTCAAGTTAGTTGGTTTCAAACAAGTGCCACGGTGCCAAAGTAGAGTTTTTCCATCCTCAACCACAAACAGTTATTGTCTGTCTGTACGTGCCCCGACCCTAATGGGCGACCGACCCGAGGTTCGTCCCGGCAATGGAAAATGGCCGGATGGGAGCGAACGCTCATGGTAATGCCGGTGCTGTTTCCATTCAGGTCATTTGCGGGACCCCAACAACCAGCTTCAGGTGGTCAAGAACTTTCGGATCTGTGTGACCAAGGTGGTGCCGGGCGCTTCCCCGCAGCCCTCGGGCACCGCCCTCAGCCCGGGACAGCGCCGCCGCCTCAACCAGGTGGTTCTCTCCTGCCAGCCACTCGAGGGTGCTCTCTCCACCGCCGTTGCAGCGGGCGACTACGACCTCAGCTTCAACGGTAACTTTTGTGACATTGTCGTGCTGGTCCTTTCTCATCACTAAGCTTCACTTGTATGGTTATCATCATCATATTATTCCTCTTGAGCTCGCTAGGGAAAGTAGCCACAGACAAAGCCAGTGTGTGGGATTTTAGTGACTGGATGGAAATTTCAAGCCGGAGTCAGGCAGTCAAATGTGGATTTCAGGGATAGGGATTCAAAATGAAGGGTTAAAGCCAGGATGAGGGGTTGAAACAAATCTTACGATCGTGGCTGTGCGATCTGGCAAAAATGTCACATTTTTGTCAGATATCTCGACAACCGTATGACTGCGGCTTCAGTGAAAACGACGCAACCCACGCCTCGCCGCTCCATTCAATTCCGGCGAGGTGCCGACCGCTTGTACGTTTTTACAACAAGCTCTGCTATTCTACCCACTGGTAATTTTGAGGTTGTAAATATGGTCACGTAATATTCTAAAAGACGGTCTATGTCTATCATCCGGATGTACTTGACAGCAAACACGGAAGTGGATTTCTTGCGTAAATGCCGTCCAGGCAGCAGCGGCTGCCTGTGTCCCTCCTCGCCGTCCGCAAGATAAGATTGCCATCGGCCGGTTTTAACCGTCGATGAAGGGCAAACTTGGAAGGAGGATTGTGCTTGGTTGAAGTGACGATTAGATGCGACACAAGCGTGGACGGATACTGTCCTCATTCCAAGATATCAATATCTTGACTGTTCGTATCTGGATTTCGATAGGATGAAGTCATATCGCCCAGCCCTAGTTACGATTTAGATGATGATGATGATGATGTCAAGCCAGCCTGACTAATCAGGCTTTCAAGTAAGGCATTCCAATGGAGGGTTCATACCGGGAGTCGGGATCTATTCAACAACGGTCAGCTTGTCAAATTCTGGCTTCAAACGAGGCTTCGGCTTTCAAAGTAGGGTTTGAAGTCAGGGTTGGTGGTTGGCATGTTGCTCTGGTGACCCTTTCTTCTGGCCACTCTCTGCTTCCACCTGTCAGATGAAGCTCTTAAATGTAGCGCCCCCTGGTTCAGTTCATGGAGAGACACGCTGAGCGAGGTGTGCACCTCCAAGCTCTTCACAGGTACCCCCCGTCGTGTGTGTGTGGCTTCCACGTCGACCCGCTCCTCTCGCTTCCTCTCCCGGCACTCCCGCTCTTCCTGCTCCCGTCACCTCTTTGTAGATTAGAACCTTGTTCACGCGTGGAACTCGTGCATGAGTCTGTGAGGTGTTCTTCCGAGCGGTCGGTGAGTCGAGCGTAGACCAGATTGCGGATGTCGAGGACCTTGGCAAACAAACACGCCGATCAGCATTTTGCCGGTTTGCTTGGAGTCGCCCACTTTTGACGCCGTTCAGTCGCCTGACCGTCCTGATCCTTTCCGCCGAGATCAGCCCTCTCAGATCTGGCTCTCGCCTAAGCTTCCGCAGATGCTCTTCTGCGCAAGAACTGTGCAGACCTTGTTACCCCGAGATTCACCCGCTCTTCTCTTCAGCTGCTATTCTCCACAATGACCGTTTGCCAAGATGCTTCTGTTCCCCCAGATTTTTCCCAAGAGCTCCTTTTCCCGATGCTCCACGTTGATTATTGCAAACATCTCTTCCCATCTCTGAGAGCCTCTTCTCCTGCGATCTGGAGATTCGCTTCTTTGCAAATCTCCTTTTTGTGATCCTTAAAATGCCCAAATTGTCATCTCTCAAAGCCTCTTTGACAAACATCTCTTCTGTTAAGATCTTGGTCCTGGCCCGGCCCTTCTTCCCCGCCACACCCCAGGTCATATTCTCCTAAAATCACCCCTTCCTGGCAATCCAAGATTCTCAAAATCCCAAGAATATTTATTGTTTTTCTTCTCTCGGATCAAGAGCCTCTTTCCCAAGATCCTGACCCAAAATTGCTTTTTGTTGACAAGGCCTTCTTTTTGAAAAGCTTGTTTTCAGTCATCAAGTCCCAACACCTTCTTCTCCCAGGCACTTCTTTTTTTTTTTTTTTCTCCTCTCACACCATGGTCCTCTTCTTCCAAGGCCCTTCTCCCAAATCCTTCTTTCTTATGATCTTGTTCGATGTCGTCCCCATTTTTCGTCCGAGCTAAACATCTTCTGAAGTTGTAACGTTCTGCTGTTCTGTCACGGCAGATGTGAGGCGATAGCGAACATCACCAAGCATGCCTTTTTTTTTCTGCTGCATGTTCACCGTTGGCACTTTTTGTCTGCCCAGCGACCACGCCCTGGTTCGAGGCCTACAGGGAGAACTTCCTTCAGTCCATGCCGTCCTCCGACCACGAGTTCCTCAACCACTACCTGGCCTGTATCCTTGACATCCGTTGCTACCCCTTTTTTTTTTTTTTTTTTTTCTTTCTTGGTGCAGGCTGAGTTTCCTTGACTGTTTCCGTTTAGGCCTGTTGGTGGTGTCGTCAAGCGAGGCGGTACCGGTGGAACAGTTTGTCAAGCTGTCGCAGGAGCAGCACCGCATACAGCACAGCGGAGACTACTCCAAACCCAAGTG